CTTGTAGGATTGCTTCTTCTTGTGTGTGTGGGTGGGTGGGTGTGTAAGTGTTAGTCGTGTGGGGATGCCCCCTTACGGGGGCGTACGTGTCTTTTGGTGTATTTGTCTGTCTGGTATATTGTTTGTCGGGGGTCGCAATTTTAAAGAAATGTATTTTAAAGTAATGCAAATAACTGATAAATAAGTTAAAACTTACCTGGGCATAACCCCGGGACAGGTACCTGAACAAAGATGCCGACGGCCTCTATGCTTAGCCGGGGATTAGGTCGGTGATTAAAAGGAAAGAAAGGGATTCTTTCCAGGTAGCCTTAATAAAGGCAGGTAGATTTTGCTCGTTGCAATCACTTCACCTCACAAACAAGCACGTCCGTTCAGCTCGGCTGTTCGCACTGAACGAACCCACAACTAGATGCGCTGCTAATGTCAATAGTGCCAACTGTATTATGTATATGTTTTGTGATGCCAACTGCCAATGCTGTCATATAAGAAGCCAAGAACCAAGAAGGTTAGAAGTGACTACTGACGGCTTTGTGCTTTGTATTTTTGTCTCTGCGTTCTGTTTTCTGTTTATATTTAAAAGAAGATTGTTGCAGAGTAATGACTGATGTTAAGGAAACGTCCTGTAGGCTTTGCCTTAAACATATAACCGATGAAAGTTTTGAAGTGATAAACGACATTATCAGAGACATTCTAGATGTTCTTTTGCTGAAATTGGTAAGTCGGTAAAATATAATTAGATTGCGTTTTACTTAATCGTCTCGAGTGTAAATTAACTTTTAGTGTTTAATTGTTATTTTATGCCATTCTTTTTGTTTCAAGTTGCATATTTTTCAGAAATTTGATGAGAGCATAGAGGCTATATGTAACGCTTGCAGAAGAAAGTTAAATGCTGCTTCAGAATTTAAGTCGACGTGTTTGAATACTGATAACACAATTATTCGATATGTGGATAGCGAAAAAATGTTACAGCTCGACTTAAGAGAAGTGTGCATCCAGGAAAGGAAAAGTGAATTAGTGTACAGTCAGAAAATATGTCGATTGTGTATGCGCCCAGTAGAAAGTGAGTTTAGGTGCATACGTGAAGAGGAACTTGAAGCTATTCAGAAATTGACACCTGGCATGGTAGGAACAATATTAAATACTTGCATATTTTGTAATTTAACGAAATTGCTTTGTAGAATATAAATATTGTCAAAGATCCCGTTGTTTGTAAGCCATGCTTTGATTCTCTGTGTACTCACAACAGTTTCCTAAAGGATTGCTTGGAGATAGAGGAAAAAATTAAAAGTAGTTTTGATAGTTCAGCCACAGGAAGTCAAATAGATACATCTCCACTTGATTTTTTTGTTAAGACTGAAAACCTGGACAAGGAATCCGATATTAAGGAGATTGAAATGTCGATCAAAGCTGAATGTGTCGACATAAAATCGGAAGATGAGGAAAGGAGGTAAGAGGAAACTATTTTAACATTAATTTAAAAAAGATGGCAACCTGTGGTACTGACGTTTCCTGATTTATATGATTAAATACTTACAATCTGGTGATACAGTAATTGTAATAAATTATGACATTGTCGGTTATATAAGATATCATACAAATTTTTATATAATCATTAAGTGTTAGGTTAACAAATTATTGGGAAAATATGTAAGCTCTTTATAAAACAGTCAGTCATTGTGAATATTGTAAAAATTATATTTCCAAAAAAAAAAAAATAATTAAATTTTTTTCCATGACATTTTTTGATGGAGAAGAAAATATAGATAATTGCGAAAAAAACATTTTTAATTTAAAACAAACGATTTGAAGATGCAAAATTTATCCTTGAATTGATTTTTCACATTGAAAGAAAAATCGCAGCTCTTTGAACTCTTGTCATTTTTTTGTGTTACTTTGAGGTTAAAAAAAAACAAAACTATCTTCAATATCAATATCAGGTTTAGCAATATCCTTAAATACGACATTTTGGAATCATGTTTCTTGCATTGAAAAAAATAAATTCATCAAAAGACGATAAGAATGTCTTTTGGAGGATAGTTCGAGCTTCTCAAAACGCTTAGATTTTCTGTAACGCCATTAGTTCCAGAATAATTCATTAACAAATCCAAAACAGATTTTGCTTTGGTGATATAAAGGTCTTGAACAGCTCAAATCAAAGAGGATGAATTAAACTAAAGGAGCTGACAGGTGGGATTGCCAAAAAAAAATATTGAGACCCATGGATCTGTTGAAAGTGAAGCAAAAATTATAAAAAAAAATTCCCCGGATTTCTTTTGATTTCGAAAAGGTGGTCGACAATAAACATTTTTCAGTTTCAAATCCTGAAACTAGAACCTTCAAGCTTCAATTTACTTGTTTTTTATTGCTCGACGACCATTTTTCGTCAAGTTACAGCCTTTCGAAAATCACCTAAAAATTTAGGATTTTCTTTTTATCCTTTAATTCTTGTGACTAGAGTATTAAAATTAGTGATAAGGTAAAAAACAAAAACTAAAAAACGTTGACAAACAAAAAAACATTAAAATTTAATAAATTTATTAATAATGCTATTGTAGATTGTATTTAAATTATCCGTATCTGACTTTTATCAATGGAGTTATTGTGTCAGTTTATAGATAGCATCTCACAAATAGCATTTTTGATCATTAATTCGTTATCAAAGATCTGAATCGATTCATCATTAAAATTAAAATTATGTTATTAGTACTATCATTGATTATATTACGGTCAAGGATAACTATGTAAAAAGAAACAGGATAATCGTTAGATTTTAATATTTACTTAAATTGACAAGTATTCTTATTGTGGTATTACTTAATATTTGAATTTTGTTCACGGAAATTATTTCACTATAATAAAAATTAAATAATGCCTTGTGGTGTTTACAAACTTATAATTGTTATCCTTTTTAATAACACATAATTCAATCAAGTCTAAGAGTGACGATGATAGAAATGACAGCAAGCACTAAATTTTTACGATACGGTGGTACAAATGTACAATTAATAATCACATCTCATTAACTTCAAATGTAAAGGTGCCCGTTTATTGGAATAGTCTTTTGCAAATTGCAATATTTTGGCATGTGTCACCTATATCCCCTAAAAATTAAAACTTGATTTTAAAAAATGCCCTGTATGTGCAATTTTTTCAGCAACACACCACTGCAGAGCTCCGATATCGTACCATTCGAGGAGAATGCCTGTAAAGATGAAGAAGAGGATGGATGTAAACATGAGAATGGATCAGAAATGAAAATCAATCAGGAGCCAAAAGTATTGTACAAATGTGAGAAATGCATTTACGAAACTGGAAGTGAAATTCGTTTTACGGCACATTGTGCGAGACATGAGAAGGATTTGGAAGCACATGAATGTGAATCGTGTGACTACGAAACTGAAAATAAGAAATTACTTCTGAAACACCCGTTGAAGCATAAAGATTCTTTGCAGATTCAAATGTACAGATGTAACGATTGTGATTATGAAGCAAGGTACAACAGTCATTTCAAACAGCATCAACTGAAACATAAAGATCCTTCACAGGTTCAGATGTACATGTGTCACGATTGCGATTATGAAACTATATTCAAGAGTTATTTCAAACGGCATCAACTGAAACATAAAGATCCTTCACAGGTTCAGATGTACAGGTGTCACGATTGCGATTATGAAACTAAATACAAGAGTGATTTCAAAAAGCATCAACTAAAACATAAAGATCCTTTGCAGGTTCAAATGTACAGGTGTCAGGATTGCGATTATGAAACTAGATACAAGAGTTATTTCAAAAAGCATCAACTGAAACATAAGAATCCTTCGCAGGCTCAAATGTACAGGTGTCACGATTGCGATTTCAAAACTAAATACAAGAATAATATTAAAGTGCATCAAAGGAAACATAAAAATCCTTCGCAGATTCAAATGTACAGTTGTAATGACTGCGAATACAAAACTAAGTACAAGAATGCTTTCAAACTGCACCGACTGAAACATGAAGATCCTTCTCAGGTTCAAATGTACAGGTGTTACGATTGTGATTATGAAACTAAATCCAAGACTTATTTCAAACAGCATCAACTGAAACATAAAGATCCTTCACAGGTTCAGATGTACAGGTGTCACGATTGCGATTATGAAACTATGAACAAGAGTCATTTCGAAAAGCATCAACTAAAACATAAAGATCCTTCGCAGGTTCAAATGTACAGGTGTCAGGATTGCGTTTATGAAACTAGATACAAGAGTTATTTCAAAAAGCATCAACTGAAACATAAAGATCTTTCGCAGCTTCAAATGTACAAGTGTAACGACTGCGATTACAAAACTAGATATAGGAGATGTATCATACAGCACCAACTGACGCATAAAAATCCTTCTCAGGTCCAGACATACAAGTGTAACAACTGCCCCTTTGAAAGTAAATACAAGAATCATCTGCAGCGGCATCAACTGAAACAAATATGCTGCACAAGTTCTAAACGTATTAGTGTAATGACTGCGATTACGAATCCAAATATAGGAGTGGTATAAAATATCACGTGTTGAAGTATAAAATATTAGATTATATCGATTCATGTTATAATTATCATTTGATAAGTTGGTATTACTGTTCCGTTCTTTTGTGTTTTGTTCTATGTTGTATTTTGTTCTGTACTCTGCGTGTCAGTTCACAGGCAATAAAAGAGTTTAATAAAAAGGTGCATTTTATTAAAAAAATTAAAAGTAAAACTATAAAAAAACTCAACAGGTTATGGGCCCAGGTTAATTCTGAAATACGTCAATGTAAAAATCAAGCAAAGGAAAGTGTAATAAAAGAGCTGTGTCCTGAAAAAAAAGTAAAACAAAATGGAGGAAGAAACGAGTGTGGTGTAGATTGAAAAGCAAGTAGATGAAGGATCATTTCCAATCTGGAACTTCCAGTTAAATGTAGTTCCAAAAGCAAATGGTCTCTATGTTGTTGTAAAATGTCACAACTGGCTGATCTGAATCTTTTATTAATAAAATGTATAAAATCAAAATTCTTTGTCTTATTCCAGCTTTATACTTTATTACACTATTTGGACAGCATAAAAATTGTTTCATTATAATAAAGATTAAATAATGCTTTGTGGAGTTCATAAACTTATAATTGACTGCTTATTTTTGAAAATGTGGAAATTACTATCCTTTTCAATAACACATAATTCAATAAAGTTAAGAGTGACAACGATAGAAATGAAAGCAAGCACTGAATTGTTCCGGTACGGGGGTACAAATGTATAATTACTTAATAATCACATCTTATTAACATCAAATGTAAATTTTCCCATTTATTAGAACAATTATTTGTAAAACAACATTTTGGCATGTGTCACCTATAACCCCTAGAAATTAAAACTTGATTTTTAAAAATACCCTGTATGTGCAATTTTTTCAGCGACACACCACTGGAGAGCTCCCATACCGTACCATTCGAGGAGAGTGTCTGCAAAGATGAAGAAGAGGATGGATGTAAACATGAGAATGGATCAGAAATAAAAATCAAGCAGGAGCGCAAAGTATTGTACAAATGTGATAAATGTATTTACGAAACTGGAAGTAAGATCCGTTTTACGGCACACTGTGCGAGACACGAGAACGATTGGAAAGGGTATAAATGTGAATCCTGCGAGTATAAAACTGAAAAGAAGAAATTACCTCAGAGACATTTGTTGAGGCATAAAGATCCATCTCAGGTTCAAATGTACAGGTGTAACGACTGCGATTTCGAAACTAAATACAGCCACTATATGAAACAACACCAATTGAAGCATAAAGATCCATCACAGGTTCAAATGTACAGGTGTAACGACTGCGATTTCGAAACTAAATATAAGAGTTATATCAAAGAGCACCAACTGAAGCATAAAGAGTTCACACAGGTTCAAATGTACAGGTGTAACGACTGTGATTACGAAAGTAAATACAAGAATTGTGTCAAATGGCACCAACTGAAGCATAAAGATTCTTTACAAGTTCAAATGTACAGGTGTAAAAACTGCGAATACGAAACTATATACAATTTTCATATGAAACGGCACCAACTGAAGCATAAAGATTCTTCACAGGTTCAAATGTACAGGTGTAACGACTGTGATTACGAAAGTAAATACAAGAATTGTGTCAAATGGCACCAACTGAAGCATAAAGATCCTTCACAAGTTCAAATGTACAGGTGTAAAAACTGCGATTACGAAACTATATACAATTTTCATATGAAACAACACCAACTGAAGCATAAAGATTCTTCACAGGTTCAAATGTACAGGTGTAAAGACTGCAATTTTGAAACTAAATACAAGAGTTATATCAAAGAACATCAACTGAAGCATAAAGAGCCCACTCAGGTTCAAATGTACAGGTGTAACAAATGTGATTACGAAACTAAATACAAGCGTAACATCAAACAACACCAACTGAAGCATAAAGATCCTTCACAAGTTCAAATGTACAGGTGTAAAAACTGCGATTACGAAACTATATACAATTTTCATATGAAACGGCACCTATTAAAACATAAAGATCCTTCGCAGGTTCAAATGTACAGGTGTAAAGATTGCGATTTTGAAACTAAATACAAGAATTATATCAAACGACACCAACTGAAACATAAAGATCCTTCACAGGTTCAAATGTACAGGTGTAACGACTGCGATTTCGAAACTAAACATACAAACATATCAAAAGGCATCAACTGATAGATAAAGATCCATCACTGGTTCAAATGTACAAGAGTATATACTGCAATTCTGAAACTCAATTAAAGGGTAAATAGATAGATATACAGGGTGCCCCAAAAGTGACGCCCGTCCTTCTAGGATTTGATTAAGGAAACAAAAACGAATTGAAAATCAAGAGTGGAAAATTTTCCGATTGTTTTCCGTTGTTGAGTTATTCAAAAATGTATTCAAAAAACTGAAAGTGAAACTGAAAGTGAAAATCCATTTTTTTGTCTCAAAACTGAGGTCTGTGCTTATGGGAACCAAGACATATAATTTATAACCAGTAGAGTAGATAAGTATAGTTTTCGATTGTCGGTTTTACCTGGGTATAAGGAATTATTTAAACCTGAAAAGGTTAAAGAAAAACATTTTTATAATAAAACAAATTAAAACCATAAAGTGCTTAAATAATAGAAATTGTTTTTACAAAAGGTGTTCAAATAAATTGCCTTCTATTTCAAGACAAAGATTATCACGATTCAACATTGAAGCATGAACTCTTTGTAGCATCTCTTGATCTATTAACGTGACAGCAGCGTATATACGGACTATAAATCTTTTCTTTTAAATAACCCCCATAAGAAAAATCTAGGGGATTCAGATCTGGTGATCTAGGAGGCCATGGTCCACCTCTTCCAATCCATCTGTCTCGGAAGTTTTGTTTCAGATAATTTTATATTAGTAAACCATAATGTGATGGAACTCCATCATGTTGAAACCAATAATTTAGTCTAACTGCTAACGGAACGTCATGCAACAATGGCAATGGTAAGTTTTCATTTAAAAACATACAGCTGCAGCAAATACAGCTTTGAACTACATAAATATTTAATAACCCAGCCCAAATGTTTATTTTTAGCTTTTTGAATAACTCGGCAAAGAAAAACAATCGGAAAATTTTCCACTCTTGATTTTCAATTTGTTTTTGTCCCCTCAATCAAAACCCATAAGGACGGGCGTCACTTTTGGGACACCCTGTATATTAGGTTGGCCCAAAATAAAACGAATATTTTTTTTTTGTGTCTCTTGTGAAAATATGTTAGTTTATCATGTTTTAAGAGCCCCCTCAAAATATCAGCTTAAAAAAATTTTTTTAGAGGTCGCTCAAGATTTTTCAAAATTTCCAAAATCTTCAAAAATTATTATTTTTTATTTTGTTTTATCATTTTCTAGGTTGAAAAAAAATCTCGATTCTGAAAATTTCAAATCGATACTTTAATTTCAGAAGGTCGCTCATAATTGTTCATTCAATTCAAAGTGTACCTATGTTTTCGACCTCTAAAAATAAATATCAATGAAATAATAATTTTTTTTTTATTGAATTTGATGAACAAAAGAATAGAAATAAATCACGAGACATTTAAATTTAAAAAAATTTAAAAATTATAAATATTTGACAGTGCGGTAGTAAATTTTGCCTCGAGAAATTTTTTAAGTCTTGTAATTTATTTCTATTCTTTTGTTCAACAAATTCAATAAAAAAAATTATTAGTTCGTTGATATTTAATTTTAGAGGTCGCTCGAAAACATTTTAGGTATAAATACTACTTTTAAAGTTAAAATAATTATGAGTGACCATTAGAAATTAAAATATCGATTTGAAATTTTCAGAATTGAGATTTTTGTCATCCTAGAAAATGATAAAATAACGAGAAAAAAAATTTAAAAAAAAATTTCTTTAATCATTCTGCTATTTAGGTTAGGTTCATTCATAAAATAAGGCACAGGGACAGCTTGTCAAATACATATAATTATTACATAGCGAACACTCGTATTTTCATTATTTCATTCATTACGATTAAGTACTTGTTTATAACACTTCCATATTGTCAACGTTAACAATAAATGCAAATTAAAATAAGATATTTAACCATAATTTGTGTTGATGACAATAAAAAAATTAACGTTTTGTGTCTTGTGCCAGTTCTGAGTATTTTTTGTTTAGTTCTAAAACAGGTAAAAAGATGTTGGAAATGAAAAAAATAAAGTTAATTTTTAACAGATATTTTTATTTCATTAAAATTTACAAAATACAAACGAATTTTTATCTATTCTTTAGGTGCCGCCACCATTATTCTATGGCTAGAAGTTGGCCTCAATGATTTGGGATCGAGGGGGATTATCCCTCTTTATCCTGCCTCATCTCGTGTAGGCCTGGACAGCCTTCGTAGGTGGGCCCCATCCGTCGTCTACCCCGACCGCAAATGCGGCCGGTGTAGGCGCTTTGTGGGACCTCCTTTTGTCCTGGCTGGGCCCCGCCGGCTAGGGCCCTTTCTTCTGGCGCTCTTCTTGCTTCGCCGGCTCGTCTGTGTAAACCCCGGGGGTAGTGTCATGTTTATGTGTGGTATGGTTGGGTAGGGTAGTGCGGCTATGCAGCCTGGGATGCGCTTTGCTAAGGTGGCCCTTAGGCTAGCGCGGGAGGGGAGGGTTAAGGAGGGTATGGGGTGTGTGTGTGTGTGTGTGTGTGTCGTTGTCTTCGTTTCTTGATCCTGGCTGTCTCTGAAACAGAAAAGGTTAGCGGGAGGGGGGGGGGTCATTGGGGTGGTCACCCAGGGTCAAAAAGTTGGTGTCTAGGTCTTTTGTGTTTGTCGGTCACGTCGGGTACGTAGTCAACGGCTTGCCTGAGGAGGGGATTGTCATGTCTAGCGGCTACGTCAAATCGTTTCTCCGCGTTTTGTCTTATTGTCTGTGTAGCGTTTGTGTATTGTAAGTCTCGTAATATGTCAGTGTTTCTTACGTACCAGGGCGCGTCGGTGGCCGTGCGGAGGGCTATGTTTTCCACAGCCTGTAATGACTTTAAGTGGCTTTTTGCCGCGTGACCCCACGCCGTGGAGGCGTAGGTTAGCTGCGGTTGAAGTACCACCTTGATAAGCGTTCGCTTATTCCTTAAACTGAGGGTGTTTCCACCTTTGAGTAAGGGATAGAGCCTAGCCCTGGTGGTCTTCGCTCGCGCCACCGTCTCCACGATGTGCGGTTTCCACGTGAGACGCTGGTCCATCGTCACGCCCAGGTATCGTGTTTGTCGATTCCAGGAGATGGGTTCCTGGGATAGTGTCAGTCTGTCGAGGTTTTGTGGGATTTTTCGTTTGGTAAAAAGGATAGCCGAACTTTTGTTGGGATTAATTTTGACTTTCCACCTGTTGCACCAGGTTTCAAGTTGGTCTAAGGAGTTTTGGAGGAGGGAGACGGAATATCTAGGATCTACGGATTGGGATGTGATTGTCAGGTCGTCGGCGTATAAGTATATGTTGGTGTTGGGGGGATGTGGGATGTCGGAGTTGTAAATGGTGTATAGGTGTGGGGACAGGACGGTGCCCTGGGGGACACCGGCCTCCATGGGACGGGTGGTGGAAAGGGAATCTTGGATTTGGATGCGGAATTTTCGGTGGTGTAGGTAGGATTTTATGAGTTTGGTAAAGGATATGGGATATTGGTTGGTGAGCATTTTCATCAGTAGGCCCTCATGCCAAACCGTATCGAAGGCCTTTGCGACGTCCAGGAAGACAGCACCAGTGTACTGTCCCCTGTTGAAGGCCGATACAGGTACCGAAAAGTAACTGAATTTTACAGCTCTAATAGACACAACTTAAACTCTCTTTTGAAAAGGAACAGTTTCCAGGTAGAGAGGGTAGTATCTGTATGATTCGTATAAACGATACGAATCTTTGTTGGGAGCCCCCTGCCTGCTAACCTTTACTGTTTCAGAGACCTCCAGGATCAAGCCTAAAGCCACCTTAGCAAAGCGCATCCCAGGCTGCATAGCCGCACTACCCTACCCAACCATACCACACATAAACATGATACCACCCCCGGGGTTTACACAGACGAGCCGGCAACGCAAGAAGAGCGCCAGAAGAAGCCAGGACAAAAGGAGGTCCCACAAAGCGCCTACACCGGCCGC